TAAGTAATGTTAGAAACTAGAGTATATAGAGATAAATAATGTTACAAACTAGAGTATAAAGAGATAAATAATGTTACAAACTAGAGTACATAGAGATAAGTAATGTTAGAAACTAGATTATATAGGGATAAGTAATGTTACAAACTAGAGTATATAGTGATAAGTAATGTTAGGTATATACTCTAGTTTGTAACATTACTTATCTCTATATACTCTAGTTTGTAACATTACTTATCTCTATATACTCTAGTTTGTAACATTACTTATCTCTATATACTCTAGTTTGTAACATTACTTATCTCTATAGAAAAAGGTAATGTTAAAAAGCTCCAACTTATTCAACTTCTAAGTTGTAAGATAAAATTTTCATTCAGGTTGATATTCGTAATATCTGTACCAAAACTTTTCGTATGAAATACGATATTTAACCGTTATTCACATGATCTCTAAATAAGATCGTTTTATAAACTTGCATATAATCGTATGCATGTTGTATATAGTTAACAACCTTGTTTGTTCTGTGTCGTATAAACTTAAATGTGGCAAGAAAACAAGTTAAACGAAAAGATAACGAGATTACAATTGTTTTGTAGAGTTAAATATATTTGCATTGCTAACTTTTAGGATTTACAGAATATTTGATATAAATCTTTAAAGAGGGGGAAAAAAGACAGAATTTTTACCTTGTTTTCAGAATAAAGCATAAAAATGATATACATATATACGTGTTTGTGTATGAATAGCTGTGCACAGAGAAAACAGTATGTAAAATATACATTTACTGGAATTCGAAGAAATTTATAAAATTAATTTCGTCTTTTCTTTAAAAAAGCTACATTTTTATCGCGTATTATCACACTAAGAGACGATGGAATTACGTTTTTTTCGCGTATTATCAAACTAAGAGACGGTGGAATTACATTTTTGTTGCGTATTATCACACTAAGAGACGGTGGAATTACATTTTTGTTGCGTATTATCACACTAAGAGACGATGGAATTACATTTTTATCGCGTATTATCACACTAAGAGACGATGGAATTACATTTTTATCGCGTATTATCACACTAAGAGACGGTGGAATTACATTTTTATCGCGTATTATCACACTAAGAGACGATGGAATTACATTTTTATCGCGTATTATCACACTAAGAGACGATGGAATTACATTTTTATCGCGTATTATC